ATTGACAAGATTAAAAGCAAAAAAGATTAGTTCTCACATGTCTATACGTCTCAGTAACAAGAAAAGGTATTATTTATTTTTCCACAATTGAAACATATTCAAGTTAATTAAACTGGACTTAATATATTTTTCACAAATGTTACCATATATAATAGGGCAAAGGGTTAACACGTTTTCTTGCGAAGATAGCGTTCAAGAACACTTAACAACTCCGTGAATGGTATCTCGATATCCGATAAAAGATCAGATCCCGTAGCCTCTTTAGCTAATAGATCTACTTCTCAGCTATTAGAGAGTTGTTGTCAGCTTTGCGTTTTCTAGAGCACCATGGAATGACTCTCTATAGCGACGGTATCTAGTTGATATAGCGACAAGTATTACTATTAGAGAATATGCTACTGAAGAGCTGTAGTTCCATTTACACTGTCACTCAGAAGCATAAGGATACTTGCTATTTTTCATCGAATGTGTAATATATAATGTACGTCATAATTATCAATGATGTTTATTGCTTACGATGTCACGCGTAATATATAATGTATTATAATAGCATTACATACAACAATGCCATTATTCAAATAACTTACATAAATAAAAGTGTATCTTGTGTGTTCAACAATGCTTTATACTCTATTGTATTCAAACAGGTACTATAGCCTGCTCCTTTTATTTTGCAAGGACTTTGTCGTTCTAATGCGATCTTTGTCGTCCCTGCGCTAATATAACAATGAAAAAATTAGTAGCAAGGAATATAGGATTTGTAAACATGGTTCAGATGTAAACATAGATAAGAAGAAGAAGAAGAAATAACTATATCTTATTATTACTAGTTATATATTTAATCAATTATTTTTAAACTTTTTAAAATTTTTAAACTTTATAAAATTTAATCGAGTTTACTGAAATTTGTGTATCTTGTTCCAGTTAGCTATAAACATTAAGAAAGTATGCATATACTGTTCAGCAATGTACGTCTAAGACGACTAGAGATCGAAATCTTCAGAATATCATTTTTAACCTTAAACCTACCTGTATAATCAGGTCTTGCTGACATAACAACTTATACTTTATTACTTTATCGCTTCTGTTTGTTATTATGAAACGTTAAAAAAACAATCGAATAATGGAAAGATTGTAAAACAAATAATATTTATCAGCTCAGGGTCCAAACAGTCCTAGACATGGTGGAATAAGGGTTAACCCTTTAACTATCGAGTCAAATTCACTAAAAGCAATATTAAATCTTATTAATTCCTTCAAATTCAGAAGTACGGTTTCATTTTTTCGTAAACGGAACAGCTTTTGTTACTAACAATTAAATACCAATAATTTCATGTTCCCAAGCAAATGGGAACCAAACTAATACTCGACAGGAAATTCACGAATAATACTGTTCACCAAAAAAATTCGACAGTTAGAGGATTAAGAGTTTCTATGAACCAGACCACGCAGTGTACAACGATACTCGCAAAGCGTAAACCCATGCGCGGAATGTGGCGGAGTCAATTCGGCGTCGATTTTCTTTTGTCAAACCCAAGAGGATCCACCCAGCAAATTCATTTCACTTGCGACTGGCCCAACGATCTTCCCTCTTCTCTCTCGTGCTCCCATGTCCGCGAGCACGGATCCTCCAGGATAAAAGTCCACCTCGGAATTTCAACGAATCGTTCGCGCTGCACGAACATCGACGTACGTGGAGCAAGCGATTGCTTCGTGCGCCGCGCCGGATCGAAAGGTAGAAGGTGAAACGATCGCGACCGGGAAAGGGAAAGTCTTTTCCGAGAAGTCCGCTCACGTTCCTTCCGCCTCGATATAATCCTTATGTTGGCAACCGGGTACCCGGGTATTAGAGGTGTGAGAGAACCCGAAAATATAGGGTTCGCTACCTTTTTCGGGTGTAGATCGGGTTCACGAAATTTTTGAGATTATAAAGGATGGAACGTGCAGCAAGAGTAATAAACAAATGATATTTTATTATATCTTTCTCCATTTATTATTGTTTCTTTTTACTCAAACTCGTAAGCAACCTTCTCCTTAAATCCTATTTTTTCGGAGACCCGATATTTTCTGGTTCTCGCCCACCTCTACTCATTTCGAAACCTTGTTCTAGGTAATTTCGTGAAATTTTGACAAAATTATTTGGAGTCTGGATCATTTGAATATTTCTACAATTTCTGCTCCATAAATAAAGAACATACGCAAAGATATTGTAATACAAAGATTTAACGATGTGTAAAGGTAATTGAATATTTAATTTAATAAATTTATTCAAGGACAGAGACGCATGAGACCAAATTGAAAAATGAGTACCAAACCGCATATATACGGGAATCGAAAGGTTAAAAAAAAATAAAAAATTGGACTCAAATCGCTTTGAAAATGGATGGTTCAAGATTACATTTTGTCTAACTTTGCCCACAAGGCGGGTCATCGATCTCGACTATGTTAAACGATCGAATGCGGCTGATTATTCCGCAGGAAACGTGAAATAAGACGCAAGATAGGAACGGTCTCGAGTGGTAGAACACGTTCGCCGGGGTATAGCGTGTTAATTAACTCGTTGAATCATACGCGGCGTAGGATTTTGCTCCCGTGTATACGGAGCGTTCCATTTGAATCGACCCACGCAATTATCCGCCAAGAAGTTAATTGTTCGAGAAAATGTTTTAAATAGATACGTCGCGCTGCGGAATGAAATTGCTGCGCGGATACGTGTAACCTGGTACCAGCGTAACGGGATCAGAAAATTGCTACTTGCTGCCCCCGGGTAATGTGATTAACCCTCGGATGACGGATGGCCATGTTGATCAACAGTGGAATTTTTATTCCGAGCTGGTTTCGAAAAAGAATTATACATTAAATATGATATTGACGTTCAACTCCATAAACTCCTGTTTACTGTTAACCTATTGTTAACCCCAATATTATTGTGAACTCGCAGAATTTTTATTGTAACCAGCTATTAAGAAGGTATTATGGATTAAACTTTTTATTTATCATTATCTGCATATATTGCAGTTTACTGTGAATCTATTGTTACTAATTCAGATTTGACATTCGAGTAATAAATGATCATTTTGATTCATAAACAGAATTTATACTGTACGCGGTTTTCAAGAAGGAATTATATTTTTAATTTTATATCCATATTGAACTGCACATACTGTAGTTAAGTGTAAATGGATGAATAAATAAAATTGTAAATTGGCCAATATGTAAATATAATAATGGCTGCTGATAAGTTAAAATGATCTTATATTCGTCATTCGAGGGTTAAAGAATTTATTAAAAAAACTACATATGAGGTTCGTTGAATCGTTAAGTAGTAAGAGAAGTTTACCCTTTTCCAAACCTTGGTACCCTTAAGATGTTTGAATGATAATATAATTCGTCGTATCATGGATAATACAACGATGCTATACAATGAATCACGGATCAATCAAATAAAAGAAAACAGAACTCACATCGCTGATCTCACCAACGTCGAGGTTCTTCGTATCCGAGCCGGAGCCGTTCGCGTCGGGCGGCGGCCCGGAACTCGCTGGAGTCCACGGCGCGGAAATGGTGTCGGCTGCAGCCACCGCACTGCCTGCAACAATCAAACATCCCCTACAATTTAATCACCTGTTATATAAGTAAAATTGATTTATTTACTATCCTCTATAAAAGCCATTCATTTACCTAAGTGATTACAAGTTGAACCACTAGCTAATAGCTTCTCTAATAAAGAGGCTAAACAAAATTGATTACTGTTTCGTATATTAACAATAAATTAGTAAATCAGTTACTTAGTAAAACAACTTATGAAATAAACTGTTTCAACACCGAAGTCTACCAAATATCCAAAATTAGACTTAATCGCTTCATCCAACGAACGGCATCATTACAACAAATTCAATAAGAAAACGCAACCCAGAGGTCCCAAAGGAATCCCCAAAGATCCTCGCAATCTCTGATCCTCAACTTAGCAAGCGCGAGTCGCGCGGACTCGCGGGGCGGGAAATTCGTCGAACATCGGGGATTTACAACTTCGCGCCTTCATTTCGCCAACTCCGAGGGAGGTAGGGGTGCAAAAGCTGCGTGATGGAATCTCTGTGGCTGGGTTCGTTATCGAGCCTGGAATATCGTTGTCGCCGTCAAACAAGCCAAAAGTTAGAGCGAGACGGGAGTGTCGCACAGAGCAGGGAGACAGAGATAGAGGGACAGTGCGAAAATTCAACCTGGACGGGATAAACGTTGCCGAACAGAGACACGGGATGATAGGTTGGGCCGGGTGGAAGAGGCGAGGGAGGGATTCACGTATAGGCAGGGTGGGTTGAGCAGGTGGAGGAGGGACGGAAGGAGGGGAGGTGGAAAAATCAGCACGTGAAAAATCGCGGGCAGAACGCGCGCGGCGCGGAGGCGCTCGTTGGCGGCGCGCGGCCAGGACGGGATCTCTATACGCTGGGAGCAACAAGTGTTCGCTGATATCGCGTATCAGTGCTGCGGCAGGTGGTGGGGGTTGCGCGTAGGCGGTACACTCCGCCTACCGGGGGTGGAGTGTGTATGTTAAGCCCCCGGAAAGGGCCTCCGCTCCCCCCACCCCCTGCTCGCAACATACACACGCACACATGTACACACTTGCGAGCCGAGAGGGATACCCAAAGCGCGGGAACGAACCCCCCGAAAACCCGGGAGAGAAACTGCATCCTGTCGCGTTCCACGCGATCCTCTAATCTCGGGGACACGCGCCGCCTTCGTTTCTTTAATGCGAGCATGACGAGATACTCCCCGTGGAATTCGTTCGGGGTTTACCCGAGGCTCTCTCTCCGTCTCTCTTGGTCTCTTCTGCTCTTGCTCTTGCTCTCTCAGTGCCGCTCTCTGTAACCCGGACTACCTGACATACAGGCACTGAGGAACTGAACGGGGTATGATGGACGGAAAGTTTGTCTCTGGCAAGAGTTGTGATATTGTTTTTTAGGAAGGGAGGCTTTTGTGGGGAGGTTTCAAACGGTTTGGCTGTGTTTTTATGAAGGATGTTTCTTTAGGTAGGCTTTGTGGTTGTTTGGGCAGATTTGATATTCGAGTTTGGTTTGATGGGTGACTGTGTGTTCCAGTGACCTTTGTTGCGATTGTTGGTTAGGGTTACTGTGTAATGTGTTCGATTTTAGTGATTTTAGGGAAGGGTTGTGGGAAGCTGTGTTTAAATTAAGTGGCGTGGATGTGTGTTTTGGAGAGAGTAAGTGAAGATACTGTAGACTGTGATAGGTTATTCCTTAGCGTCAGGAAACACAATGATATATGGAAAGTATAACTTCCAACAGATATGAAGTGGTTAAAAAACAAATTATGAAAGAAATACGATGATTATATTTAAAGCAACGAAGCATGTAAAGAAACTAAATAGACGAAAAGAAGTGGAAGTAGAAATATAAGAAATAGAAAATAGGAAAAAACGTATTGAGGTCTTCTTGAAATTGAATGTTCGATAACGAAGAACAAACCGAAAATTTAAAATGGGAAGAATAAGTCATATATATTGTACATTCCATAGTTTTTAACATTTGGAACTAATACGCTTTTCGAATAACGCCGAACATGGAAAGACTCGTTTATACCGCGAGTAAGGATTCACAGATTAAAATTTATTTGATAACCTACTATGTTCATTGAACAGTCACTATTGTCCTTTTTCATTTCTAATAAACTATTTGCAACTGAACAAAGTGACTTTATTTGCCACGAACCAATGTCTGCGAACATTATGACAATTTACACTAATTCTACACACTGATCCTGGAATTACATTTGAGCTAAGTTCCTATTAAACTACCCTCGTGATTGTTGACGAAATGATAAATGATTCGCCATATATCAAAGTCAACAAACACCGTGGAAATTTACACTAATTTCAATGATTGATTCTGGAATTACGTCTATATTATGTTCCTGCCAAACCTTAACAATTATTGGCAAACAAACCACCGGTTTATTACCACACACCGAACTCTACGAACACCGTACGAATTTACACAAATCCCAGAAACTGAATTTGGAGTTAACTGAATTAGATTCCTAATGAACCACCCTCATCGCAGTTAGAACCAAGCTACCATGCTACTCGCCACACATCAAACTCTACAAACATCCTTAATATTCTGCATATCGACACGATTGAAACATAACCCCTCCAAGCGTCGCTACAAGATCTGATTCCACATATCAATTCTAACATTCAACATTAGCGTAAGCCTACCACTGTTGAAGAACAAAAAAACTCGAATCAAAGGGTCAATAACACAAACCTCCCGCAGCGCAGAAAAACAGCACCGGGGTAGGGACAGAGGTTCACTGAATATTCACGTGCGTGACATGGTGGCAGGGGTTAGTCGCGAGCCACAATATGCAAGCTGCTGAAAATGAGCGGGCGCTTTAATAGAGACGCGTCGCTCTGGCCAGCCGGCCGGGTCGGGCCGAGCCGGGCCGGTGAGACACGCACACGCGTGTACTCACGACACGTCCGCTGCCCCCTGCGCGGGTACCATCGGATTCATATATCTCCCGGCCCAGCCAAGCTGGTGTACGTAGTACTTATGTAAATGTTCTGTACCTGTTCCCTTCGTCCGTGTGTGTCCGTGTCCGTGTATCAGGTGGTACACACAGACGGCAGCGTTCGCGTGCGTACACGGTAATGCTGGCACGGCAGAAAGCATAGATCATGGCGGATGACGCATGGTTGCATTCGGTGTGCCCACCGCTCGACGGGGGTTGCCCAACGGAGGGATG